AGTGAGGCAAGCGTGTTTTGGAAATTATAGTGTAAAAAAATGTTTAATTAATATGTGAAAGACTGTAATAAATAATGTTCGATCGATGTAAGATGATCAAAACAAAAATGGAAATTTCCTGTTTAAAAGTGATTCATTTTGTAGCAGCAAAATGAAACTGTTTTACAATCTTATGATCAAAATGCACCAAAAAACAATGAAAAACGTGTTTAAATTACGAATTGAATCAATAGACGTGTTTACACGTTCCAAAACATTAAAACACTAATTTAACGCATTTTAACATTCTTATAACAGTTTTTTGTTTGTTTGGGACGTGTCGAATAACCTAATTACTCAACAACGACGAAACAGCGATGTTTTTTTTAGAGATAGACGAAGAAAAAGAAAAAGTTACCATTTTCATAAAATAATTATACATAGAATCGATACCTTTTTCATAATGCAAGTCTAAAATCACAAAAGAAAAAGAAAATGTGCAAATTTACTTTTGCATTCCTTCGATTAATTGTTTTTTCGTTTGTGAAAATTTTTCGGACAAAAACTGTTCTATTTTAGCATAGTGTGCCCTTGTGGTGTAGTGGACAAGCACGTCTCTCTTCTAAAGAGAAGGTCGCCAGTTCGATCCTGGTCAGGGGCGATTTATTTTTTCTAAATCTCTTTTGGTACAACTAAAAGCGTTAAGTTAAATGTATCTAAAATAGAAATAAATGTTTGTGTTGATAAAAGACGAAAGTCTTTTTTATGAATAAGTCTATATAGTTTCTTTTTTTTTAAACCAGTCGTTTTCGATAATGTTGATAAAAACTGTCGGCGTCGACTTCGAGATTTAAGATTTTTTCTTAATTGATAAATAATATCATTATATGTAGACAAACGTATACCGGATTTTGAAGGAACAATACTCTTCAAATTTTCATGTTGATTAATTCGTCGATGACGATTTTTTTTCTGTGAACGATGATGCGGTAATGAAATTAGTTTATTTTGTTTAATACGTTTATTTTGTTTAATACGTTTATTTTGTTTAATGCGTTTATTTTGTTTAATACGTTTATTTTGTTTAATGGATTTATTTTCTTTAATGGATTTATTTTGTTTAATAGGTTTATTTTCTTTAATCGGTTTTTTTTTTCTTTAATGGATTTATTTTCTTCTGTATGATTAATATCGTCTAAATCATCATCATCATCATCATTATCATCATCATCAGCATGAATATTTTGTGAATGTCTATGTTTCTTCTTCTGATGTTCTTTACTAAAACTCATTTTGTTTCTTCGAATTCGAATATTAATTCTCTGACCACTCTGTGATTTAGTAGAAGAACTTGTTGAATCTTCATTGTTTCTAATATTAGTTCGTTCACTTTTATTTTGATCATCATCATTTTTTTCTTCGCTATTTTCGATAATATCTTGTTTAAGATTAGATTTCATTTGTGAATCTTTTAATGATTTTGTTGTATCTGTTGATGGTATACGTGAAGATGAATCTGTTAAATCATTTGATATTTCTCTGTCTTTTACAACGAGAGAACGTTGAATACGAGCATTTGATGTTAATAATCGAGGAATCCATGTATCTTTTTTCGTCCACATTAAATAGAGCAAGATTAATAAACCCACGATTAATAATGGTCTTGACCAATTGATCTTTTTATACCATGGAGGTTTCTTTATTGGAAGAGGTTTGTTCGGAATTTTTTTCTATAGAAATATATCAAATTAATCAAATTTTCTTATTCAAAACTAATTAAATATTAATGAAAAAGTAGAAGAAAATTATTTTTCTTAGACGTACTGGATGAGTCATAATGATTGCGACAGTTATTATTTTATAAATATCTGAACACAGATAAATCGTATACTATTGATTCTTTTTTTTCTTTTATAAAGCTAAATATAAATGAGTTTTTTTGACTGACAAAAGGTAAAGGTCTTCGTGATATCGTCATTTCCTATTACAAAAAATGAGAAGAAAGCTTGAAAAATCTCAAGTAACTAATCTTTTTCTTTGGCTATTTCATCTTCTTCCATGTAATTTGTATGCATTAACCGAGCCAGTTTGGTTAAATTGCTATATCTAACAATGAACTGTAGTACGATGCATCTTATTAGCCAACATACTCAAGAATTCTCAAGTTTTTTTCCTCGTTTTTGTAATGGAAATAATGATATCACGTTGATCTTCACTTTTTCTCATTGAAAAAATTCATCAGAACAATTCAAAGATCTTTTTAATATAAAAGCAATAGAAATTCCACGACATATGAAAAAATGAAACAACTTAAGGTTTTCATGAAGATGTCGGTTAAAGAGGAACTGTACCCACATACACACCTACCCTCAATGTCATTTTCATTCTTCTTTCTCTAAGTATAATGGGACATTTAACTATCATAGTGTTTCACTTTTAGCCTTACTAAAACAAAATTACTCAAGTAACTCAATAGGGTTTCTCATTATGGTTCATGTAGAGAATTTCACGGGGCATCTTTTAAAAAAAAATCAAGATTATACGAGTTATCTGTACTGGGATATTTGCAAAATACTAAACGTCACAATCATTATGAGTTATACGGTATTTATCATCCAAGTTTTTATTCTTATCAATAGGTAAAAATCATTTGAGCATTAAAAGAAAACAATTTTGAAGATATTTTAAATTAGCTTTTATTCATTATGAAATAATATATTTATAAAGTGTCTCCAACACGAAATTCAAGTTCTTGTTTTTTTAATTTCTTCAACTATTTTGTTTTTTTTGAAATTCAGCATTTAAAATTCAGTGGAAATAACGGGTGCGGCAGAAAAAATGATCTCCTCAGTATTCTATCTCTAGCTCTTTTTTTCTTTCATCCAAAAAAACATGATTTTATCATAGAAAGATGCATTGTGAAATTCTCTATAAAGTGACCTATTTAATCTTGGCTAAATACTGTTCATAGTAGTTTAAATTGAAATGGTTTCACTTGGAAAAATGATGAGTACTTTCCAAAAATAGTTAATTTATAGTTTTTCTGAATATCGGTTTATTTATCATTTGTTAGTAACTTTCGTTGATAGTTTGTTTTAGTTGAGAAGTAATTTTGGTTTACCAATGCTCGAGAGATGCCTAGACTTCCCTATTTGAGTTGAATCGGTAATTATCGTAATTAGCATGCTATTTCAACAAAGGTCACTAACACATGATAAATAAACTGATATTCAGAAAAACTATAAAATAACTATTTTTGGAAAGTACTCATCATTTTTCCAAGTGAAACCATTTTAATTTAAACTACGATGAACGGTATTTAGCCAAGATTAAGTAGGTCACTTTATAGAAAATTTCATGATGCATCTTTCTATGATAAAATCATGTCTTTTGGATGAAAGGAAAAAAGAGTCAGAGACAAAATACAGAGGGGCAGCATTTATTCTGTCGCACTCGTTACTTTATCAAGTCGAAGGTTGATTCTAAAATTCTGTTGATAGTAACGATCTAAATTAGTTTTATTCGCATGCTTCTAGATCATTTTTGTAACCCTATCGGATTTTTCTATGTTAGTGATCAAGCAAAATATATTATGTCATTTAATTCATTGCGCTATTCGTCATAGAAACATGTGTCACAATGTATTTTCGACATTGTTTGGTTGCTAAAAAAAATCATTGTTTCGAAATTCTGAGTGAAATAAATAAATAATTGCCTGGCAAAACTAAGCTTTTATGTAATAAGATTATCATATTCGGTCAGAACGCTAAAAAATGAGTTGACTGACATATGTTTCGATACTCTTCATCATCTTTTATTTATTTATTTTTTTGATGAAAAATCGAAAAGAACTGAAGTCATAGAAAACAATAAATTTATACGTCAGACGAGTTAGTTTTAGTGGTTTGATTGAATATAATAATCTTTAGTACATAAAAGCTTTAGTTTTAGTGAACAAAAGTCTATTTATTTCGATCAGAATTTGGAAAAAATTAGTTTTCTCAGCAATCAAGCAATGTGTAAACAACAAGCAATGTGTAAACAACAAGCAATGCATACTTCTGTGACGGATGATACGATGAATTAAATGAGATAATATATTTTGTTTCATTACTTATACAGAAAAACTAGATACAATCGTAAAAATGGCCTAGAAACATATGAATAAAACCAATTAAGGTCATCACTACCAACACAATTTTAGGATTAAGTTCAATTTAATAAAGTGTTTTCACTTAATTTTAAGTATTGAATTTACAAAAAAAAGAAAAAGACTTCCTCTCAGTCCTTCTTTTTTTGCATATTATTCGATCTGAAAAAAAAATTATTGGAAAAAATTAAAAATCACTTTTTTTCTGAATCAGCTTCTCAAACTCCATCGAATTATGTATGAAAAAAAAAACACTTAACTTGAATTTTGTGTTGTGAACATCTTAGAAGAAATATTAAATCGAAGAACAGTTCGAATCATTCTCGTAATTATTTTATTTGATTGTTATATTAAATAAAAGATATAAATCGATTTTCTTAAAAATATCTATACTGTGAGATTTATGTTTTGTTTAAAGAAAATATCATACCTCAGATTCATGTGTTTGTCGTGATTTTTTTGTTTTGCGTTTGCTGCTGCCTTCTGACGACTCATCATCAAGATTCGCACTATCGATTGAAGGAGAATTTATCGATATTAATTTATGATTGGGAATTGTAAGAGAATTTGCCGTTTGGATTGTATCATCATCATCTGTATTAAATGAATAAGTTTTTATCATATGATTCTTTTTTTCACTTCCATTTGAATCTGTAGAATAAACTGTTAAAATATTTTGTGTCATCGTGGATTTTTATAATTAATTCAATATCCTCAAATAAAAAGAAAATTCAAAAAAATTAAGAAAATACTTAATCATTAACAAAGATAAAAAAAAAACAACAGGTGAAAAAGCTTTGCTTCAATCAAAATGATGATTCAACCATGTGTCTCTCGACTAGTTATATATATGTATATAAAACCATCCTTGTTCGTGTACAGTATGCATTTATTCACGCTCGAATGATTTTGAAAAAACAAATATTCATTGATAGAATGGTTTCTCTTCAGACATCAATGCGTATATCAAGGACAGTCAGAGTGATTAAGATAGATGAATAGAATATTTATCAATAATTTTAAAAAATTTTATTTCAAATATATTTCAACATTTTTGCCTAATAAATTTAAAAAAATTGATTTATGTTAAACTAGTCAAATGATTATTTGTATTTAAATTAATTTTATTCATTCTAATGAAGAATTTTATTAAAATTTATTTATGTAATTTATCATTTTATTTCATATGAATAAATATTAAGCAACGTACAACAACAAAAAAATAAAAAAATGTGTTATTGAATCATTTTTCATACATTATTCTATTTTTAGCTTTTTATCATCGTTATTCGAACATTTATTTTATTAAATCCATAAGCAATTGTCATTTCGTCTGACATCTTTTTCTTTTATTATTAAACTTGTTTTTATGTAAAACTGTTAATCACAATTAAAAGCAAAAAAATAAATAAATAAATACTTTATTTCATTGATTCAATCAATATCTGAAATAAACATTGAATTTAATTTAGAATAAGAATAAAAAGTAAAGAAGAATATTTCCGTGATGGTATGTATGCTCTTTATTGCATCAAACACTCAATTGTTCAATATTCAGAGAAACTTATTGTGTACATCTATGGAATTTAAAGGCATATATCAACATTCTCAACTAGTTATCTTGATTAATACATATATACTTCATTTATCATGGGCAATTATTCACTTTTTTATACTCATAATTCAACATTTCTTTTATCTATATTTATTTTGGAAGGTCTTCTTTTAAGAATAATTAACAAAAAAAAATCTTTTTTTTATATATTGAACAAATATTTTTAAAGTATGTCATATTTTACGCATCTATCTAATTTTGAAGGTTCATTATTATTGATGAAACTATACAGTGACATGAAAATCAGTCAGACGTGGAGAAATAATAATTTTGTTAAATTACCTTAACTGTTTTCATAACATGTAAATATAATTAAGGTCGTTGTGTCATAAGTTAGATAAAAAAAGCTTTAAGTCGATAAAAAATGTTTTTAGTAGAGTTAAAGCAAGTTACGAACTGGTTTGTATTATATTTTACCTGTGTGAAACAACATAGTGATAGTCAATATTTGATAATGTCTTATTACAAAAACAAAATTTCCATATGACAATGTCAAGTGTGCAGTGAGAGACGACTTCTATAAAATATAATAAAAGAAACGATCAAAAAATCTATGTAAAAAGAAATTTCTATAAATTGACTGATTCAACCTAAAACAATCTGCTCTACTTTTCGATTGTGATAGGATATTAAAAACATGAACATAAACAAATTCTCATAAGTTATTTTACGTTAATTTCATTTTAACTAGATAGAATATATAAAATAAAAGTAGATGTATCGTACTACATCTGTTAAGCGTTCATTTATCATTTTCTAGAGTCTATAAACTTATATATAATTGATTCAGACGAACACAGTCAGTCTATGTATATTCGAATATACTTTTTTTTTTACATGGTCTTTCGATTAGTTCTTGTTCGAGAATACATTGATAAATTGATCAATGATCTTGAATGAACTCTTTTGAACTGCTTTGATCGAGATTAACCTGAGTTGAATCAGTACATCTTTATATTTAACTATTTTAAAATTGAATAATAGATATTTATGATACTTATTAAATAGTTATTAATCATTTTCATAGAAGAATTTTGAAGATACAATGAAGATTATATTTGAATGATGATTAAAAATCTATAGAATTTAGAAAATATACTCTTATTCGTCTAGTATTATTCAGAAAAAAAACAAACAAACAAACAGAAATGAATAATATTAGTTAAATGAAAATTAGCACAAGTGTTTTTTTCAGAAAAGTAATATAAATTACAGTTTATGGAGTCTTAACATGTTGTCCTCATTTGGAAGCCTTATTCTATATTTAAGAAAAAGAAATATTCATAATAAAATAGAAATTTTTCTTTGCAATTTCTTAATTGGACATGTTTTTATTTATCTTGAGAGTATTTCTCAATTTTCTATGCTAATAAATCTAGTTATGGAAATAATTCATCCCTGTTTATTCGCATGCAATATGAACGTCGTCTTGTTTATTGACAGAATGAAAAAAAAAAAGAAAAAAAAAGAAAAGATGAAGAAAAAAGATCGTACTTATTCTGCATTTTTTTCTCTTCAACGATCTTTGTTCATACTCTTAGCCATCTTATACAATCTCATATTCGTAAGTTGTTGCTTTTTCTTCTAGAAAAATGACTGAACATATTGATGGTAGTCGTTTAAATCAAGATCTTCGTTATCGTTTTGAATATATATCAAAATTTATAAATTTTACAAATGATGATATTAAAGCATTGAATACATTAGCAACAATAGCTCTCCCACTTATTCCGGTTATTGTAGATGCTGTATATAGAAAATTATTTCAATTTGATATAACAATACAATTTTTTGTTTTGCGTAAGGATGGTTTTGATGGTCTACCAAAAAATAATCAATCACTTGCATTAGATTCACCACAAATGATATATCGTCGAGACATGTTAAGTGATTTTTTAAAACGTTTATTATTACAACGTGAATGGACGGATGATTTTCTTCAATATCTTTCTCGAATAGGTCAAATGCATACAAATAAAATTGAATCAGGTTCAATTAATGTTGATTATATACATTTGAATGCAACATTAACTTATATTGAAACATTGATTATTGATTCTGTTTGGACAATTGAAACAATTGATAATAAAACAAAAAAAGAAATAATAATAGCAATTAATAAAGCATTTAGAATTCAAAATGATTTATTTGTTTTACATTATCTTGAATCAACATCAAAAGAAACAAATCCATCAATATCTTCAACGCATCACAAAACAAATAAATGTATTTCTAGTTAATCGTTTTGTTTTTTTGTTTCGTTGTGTTTGTCGGATAGAAAAAAATAAAAAAGCTTTAAAATATTATGTTCGATGTCATTTTCATTATTAAATAAAAATTAATGTTAACGTTTTTTTTTGTTCTTTATTTTAATTAAGAAAAGATAAATCTGTTGAGACACGAAATGTACATATACGAAAGGAAAGTAGCTGAGAAAGATAATGAGGTAACAATGGAAAGGAAATAGATAGACAAAAAAACGTTGATTAAAGTTCACAAAGTGAAAGGAAATACTAAGACACACATGCAATGACGCACAATACAATACTTCGATCAATATGATATCAAACTTAATTAATTTTGTCTTTTTATGGGAAACTATTCTTATACTTAGATTAATTATTATTCATCTGTCATTTTCTCTTCAATAGTATTATTCTTGCATTTAGAATATTCTCATTAATTCTATTTTTATAATTTCCTATCCTAAGGATAATGCCGAAAACGTTTCATATATCAAAATTATATTTGATCTTATAGTTTATTTAGTCTATAGATATATATTTTTAGAAGAATCTTTAGTATTTAATAATTTATTTTCTAAAAAAAATTATTCTTTCCTATGGAAATAACTTTTCTAGATTCCAATCAAATTTAGAATAAAAATCTTGTAAATATAGAAATTTTCCTATGCAGTCAAATAAAAATAGATTTTCACCCTACAACATATAAACATTTCTGTCCTCTCATAAGATCAAATGATATTAAATATAATGTTAACCATTTCGTGAGAATTTTCATTTTATTGTAACTTTGAGACTTACTTTAAATGCTCGATAACATTTATAATGATTTTGTTTTTTTAGTTAGTAGAATTAAACATATTTCGAGTCAAATAAAGAGTCTCTCATCGCTAAACTAAAAAATTTAAGATATCAACTTCGATAGACACTTCTCAACTGAGATATTCAAATTTCAAAGTAATTACAATAAAGGTAGAAATTCTATAGCACTATTCACATTCAGTTATTTCTTCTTTGATCAAATGATTCTTCAAAGTAATTATTTAAATCTTATTTTTATTTTCTAAAACATTTAGTGACATACTTGTTTTTATATCTTGGCTAAGTTTTATAGTGTTCTCATGGAAATAGAATGACTTTGTTTTAGAAGAAAAGTGACTCCTATGAAAGATATACGTGCTTAAAAGACATGAATGCGCCACTTTCCAATTGAGCTAGGAATTGATTATCCTTTAGAATTTATTTATTTTCAAGAGAGAACAAGTTAAAATCGGCAAAAAATAATATAAAAAGCTATATTGTATACCTATTATATCATTATAGAAGTCATTCTACATCTGAAAAATGACAATGAAAATGAGTGCATCTTCTCGACGGAAATCTTATATCTATTAGTATATTAATCATTTTTTCCATTGATGTTCCTGAAATAAAAAGCCCCATCTATTAACGATCAATTTATTCTATTCATCTAGAAAATATGTCCTTATTTCATTGATGATCATTTATTCATTAGAAATTGAGTATTATATCTACATCTATGCATGACTATCAATAGTTTAAAAAAACAATATAATGTTTTATTCATAAACAATTCTCCATTCTATCGTTTAAAAACAAATTAAATCCGAATTTAAAGCAGTTTAAAAAAGCAGCGAAACATTTGAGGAATTGAGAAACAAACGTATTTTGGTATTCATTTAGCTGTTATTTCCCTTCATAAAGCGTTTCATCATGTGATATTATAATATCATATCGCGGAACACTTTTTATGAGGGAAAATATCAGCTAAACGAATACTTTCTATTCCCAGTCAATTTGTTTTTTTTCGTGTTGTTTAAATATGATTCGATAGAAGATGATTATCTGATTAGAAAGAGTTGATTTTAATTTCAGAAAAATTTTCATGAAAATCATTTATTCGAAAAATTGATGAATTTTTTAACATGTTCCAAGTTTTTTATTCTGCTCATTTTTTTGAAGGTTAAAAACTTCATTTTTGTTTAGACGCATATAAAAAATCTGAGTATAGACACAATGTTACATTGACTTTAACTGTAAAAGTAGTGTAGTTGTGCACATCCCTACACTACACTCAATGAAATGTTTGTCGTTCATTTTGTAAATCTACCTATTTTTTCTGATTAAATAGATAAATCAAATATTTTATCTCGTGCAATTTATTATAAGAGCAGCCCCAGGAAGTAAGTAACAGGTTTATTTCTATTTACTTTGCTTTATTTTTGAGAAAACGCTTTTCTTTCTAAATTTTCGGCGAAAAAATTAGAGTTCGTTTTGTAATTCTCAATTTCATCCATGAAAATAGAAATGGTACCTAATGAAATCATCATATTTGGAAACACCATCGAAAGCTAACTCGATTAATATGGGTTTCTATCGGCTCCAATCACTTTTTTTTAAAACTTTTTTCCTAACAAAATGACTGTAATTTCGGCTAAAAATTGAGAATTATAATTAAAAAAATTTAAATAATTAACGATAAGTTCTGAATGACATATTTATCAGCTCAATTTTTGAGAATGATTTCAAATATGATCATTTTATTATATAAAAGTGTTACTTTTTCATGAAGAACATTGAGGACTACGGAATCAGTTAAGATTTTTTGCAGATTTACAAAAGAAAACATGAGTGAGATATGCTTTTCTTGCCTTGCGATGAGGTGATTTCAATGAGTTCTAAAGCATAAATTTACCTCTTATGAGAAAAAATGAAATAGGATCCCCAATAATGTACCTCAATAACTTGAAACTTTCTTACAAATATTTTCTATAGAATGAACATTGAAATATTCTCATTAGTTTTAGTATTGGTGATTAGTCAATGTGAAAGGAAATTGATGGACAAAAGTTTAATGCATTTTTTTTTTCTTTGAAAACAAATCTACAGACTCTCTCCAAATATTAATTGCAATACATCTTAGAACGAAAGACAATGTCTAGATACAAATTGTTTTGTTTTTTTTAATGTAAAATTGAGTTCATTTTATTTGACAATACTTTTATTTTTATCAGTCAAAACTTCAAGACACTCTTAAGATTTCATTAATTATATCTTTAAAAAAGAGCGTCAAAAATTCTATTAGATGATGAATTGTGTGAGTTACATTTTTGATTAAACACCTATCAAAAATTACTGCATTTAATAATTAATAAATGTTTAGTAATTATAGAAATATTTATTATGATTTTCTCGTTTCAAAGGCACCATTACAACCAACATTCTAAACTAACTATAATAATGGTTTTTTTGTTGTTGTATAATAACTTGTTATAATATGCTTTTAAGTATGTTTTTTTTCTTAATTAACAAACTAACTGATATATCTAGTTAATATATTGTTGAAATGTAAAACATATTGGCTTTTCTAATGTCCATTGATTAGATAGTGTTGACTATTGTCAAAATTTTCATTAAACTATCTTTTGAGTTAATATTAAATCTTAATTAAATTTAGATTTACTTGTTCAGTTTAACCAATGATGAATAGATAATAATCTAAAAGATCTATAAGTTCAACTTTGATATCGTTTCTGAATTGATTATAATTCAATGGTAAAAATATAATAGAAAATAGTAGTTGAATATTTGTAAACAAATAATTATATCTATTTGTTACATATTCAATATTGATCAAAACAAAATCTTATTTTAATTGACATGTAAATTAATTTTGAACTAATGCACATGATTCACATTGACAATTATTGTGTTTCATATGACACAATTTATTTTGCAACTATATGAAATAATGTAGCACAATTTTCAGATTATTTTTTTTGTTCATTGAAAAACAAAAGATATTCGTTGAAAGAAAAATTGTCTCGTTAGGTGAAAGAAAGCAATGGCTTTTATTACAATCGTTTTATTTAAAAACTAATCGCTGGTTATTAAATATATCAAATTCTTTAAATGTTCTTCAATCATCAATTGGAATAGCCAGCCTTGTGTAGGCTGGCCAGTGAGATTGTTTATCACATTTAATTCTTCCTTTTTTTCAGAATTGCTATTTATCATTTTAGGATTTTGATGTCGACAACGGTTTAACTTAATCAACAAGTTGATGCTTTAAACTTCATACAAAAATATGAATTAGACAAAATATTTCTTCAAGATAAAAATATTTTTTATAATGATAATAATTAATTATATTGAAATATATTATGATAAATTTATTTTGTTTTTCCTAAACAATGTCGATCGTCTCTCGGTGAAAAGCGAGATGCATTAGATCATTTATCTAAACGAAATATCAACACCAGTTTACTTATCCCGTTATTTTCTTTCGTTTTGAACACATGATGGTCGTCAAACGTATTCGACATTATTGACATAGATGAAATTGGCATCGATAACTAGCTAGTTCACTCTCACTTTTCAGATCGGTACCGATACCAGTCATCAAAAAACTAGGCCTGTTACATCTATGATTATTGGTTTGATATTGACTAGATTTTTAATCAATAAATCGTCGGTCACGTTCACAACTTGTTCGACATTTATTAATTCAAGTGTAACCTTTTATTTGTTCATCATTCATTTTTCTAAGTGTAACTATTCAATTAGATACAAAGAAGAAAAAAAACTCAATAAAAATTCTGAAAGAAGAAAATTCTGTTTTTGTTTAATATTGATGAAACATTTTGATCCATGTTATAAGTCTTATTTAACTGAAGATTAGTATCCAATTAAATCGTTTTTTTAAGAATTATTTCAATATTATAATATCACAAGATTTTGTCTGATTAAATATTTATTTCGAAAGTTAGAAATAATTTTTATGAAAATTTTCAAAGTTACGAGACAAGTCATTTATTGATAAATCGATTTAAAATAACTCAATATTTTGCCATTAGCCAGATTAAAAAACAAAAGTTTTTTGCTGAGACATCTTCATATAAATGACTAGCAAACAACAAGTATTCTCTCACTTATTAACATCGTTAAAAGCAATGAGGCGAAATTGTTTCTTATTT